CGGTTTCTGCAGTTCCCATTTACAGCACTGATTATGATGGCACATCTGTCCCTCCTTCTATATTGAAAAATTTCAAACACACACGCACACTGCACCGTGGGTGTGTGTGTTCCTGGGGTTGAACCCAGGGTCTCACATATGCTAGGCAAACACAGTGCCACGGAGCTGTGTCCCAGCATCCACAATAGTTTGACTACACTCTTGATAAGAGAGCCTGCTGCCACCAGAGGCCATCCTCTGCTTTTTTCTTGGTGATGGAACTCATCACTTAGCTGGGTATATAAAGCAGGTTCCATTTCTCAGCCTTTCTTGCAATTAGGTGTGCCCGTGTGTCATGTTCTGGCCAATGGGATGCAAAGGGGGGGGGTGAAGAGGTTTGATCCTCACTCTTTTCTCCTGCGGGCTATCTGAAGGTAGACCACACTGTGTAGTAAAGGCTAAGCTGGGAGACGGAGGAACCCCACATGGCTTAACTATCAGGACTGAGATCCAAGACCTCTCGAGTCAACACAACTTACTATTTGATCCCTAAAAATTATTGTTCAGGAAGATTTTATTAGCTTTTGACTAACCAATAACTAGCTTCAATGTTTGCATCAGGAAATTTATGAGAAAGAATTTATTCTAACAAAAGATTGCTCATCTTGGCAAATAACCCCACCTCAGCAGGACAAATTATTCTCCTGGGTAAACAACTCACTTATCAAACAACTAAAGTTTATTCTTCAAGACTCCAATTTTCAAGACGTGGTGTGTCCATCAGGCCTAAACAGTATATCCAACTCAGCCCATCCTGTTAGATCCCAGCACTGAGAGATCTGCCTCGGACACCGAGGCCAAGCCCCCCACGCCTGCAGACACGGCCTGAGCCCAGCACCCTTCACACCAATGGTGTCCCCAGGGGATGCTGAGGTGGTTCCCCCTCCCTATTGCAGCCAGTTCCAGGACCTAGCTTTGCTCCATCAGCCGGTTACTCTGGTGGTTTGTAGGGGAGGTGGCAGTTGATAGTGATCCTGGGGGCCACTTAACAGCCCTGGACTTCATTCACATGAGAGGGACCTAAAGTTCTATCTCATCAGGACACTTACTTTGGGTTCTTGGTCCTTGGTGGCTGCTAGCACACGTCCCCCTGCCTCCTCCATATCATGGTCATCTTTATGATTCACACCGCGGCCACCATGTAAGAGCACTGCCCACGTGTGAAAAGCACAGGACTAGATCTCTTTGCTTAACTCTGGGGCGTGTTGATCTGTGGAATTTCTTGTACATTTAGATATGAGCCTGATAAAACCAGTTTTAAAACAATCAAGTGGGCCAGGAGTGTAGCTCAGTGCACCTATTTAGCATGTAGGTTCCAGTCCCTAGGCTCTGTCCCCAGCTGCCCCAACACAAACACACACAATACCATAAAGTATACATCTAAGCAAGCATTGTTTCCTTCAACTTATTTACCTTAGGAATTTGTTCATCTTTTTTTTTTTTTTAAATATTTATTTATTTATTTTTCGGTGGACACAACATCTTTGTTTGTATGTGGTGCTGAGGATCGAACCCGGGCGAGCGCGCTACCACTTGAGCCACATCCCCAGCCCCTGTTCATCTATCTTAAAATGACTTTTGTAATTACATCTTGATTTGGATCCTGGTGGTTGACAGACTATCTTTTGTTTAAAACCCCTTTGTGGTCTGGGGCTGTGGCTCAGTGGCAGAGTGTTTTCACCTGGCACATTCGAGGCCCTGGTTTCGGTCCTCAGTACCACATAAAAATAAATAAAATAAAGGTATTGTGTCCAACTACAGCTAAAAAATAAATATTAAAAAAACTCTTTGTATGAATAATTTCAAGCATATTCAAAAGCGGAGAGAATAGCCTAATGAACAATTATCACTTCAGGACCATTACCCCAAATATTTCAGTGTGTATTTCCAAAAGATAAGGATGTTGGGGCTGGAGCTGTCACTCAGCGGTAGAGTGCTTGCCTCCTACGTGTGAGGCACTGGGTTTGATTCCTAGCACCACATATAAATAAGCAAATAACATAAAGGTCCATCAACAACTAAAAAATATATATATAAAAAAAGATAAGGACGTTGATGATGGTGGTGGTGGTGGTGTTGGGGACAGAACGCAGGGGAGCTCTACCACTGAGCCATATCCCCAGCCATTTCTGAGACATGATGTTGCTAATTTGCTGAGACTGGCCTTGAACTTGTGATTCTCCTTCCTCACCCTCCTGAGTTGCTGCGATTACAAATGCATACTACCATGCCTGAGGATAAGGATTATTTACTTATTTTTTTAATATTTATTTTTTAGTTTTAGGTGGACAAACATCATTTTATTTTTATGTGGTGCTGAGAATCAAACCCAGTGTCTCATGCATGCTAGGCGAGCGGGCTACCACTTGAGCCACATTCCCAGCCTGGATTATTTACTTATTTATTTTGGGAGTGGGGAGATCAAACCCAGAGTCTTGCATATACTAGGGAAGCACTTTACCACTGAGCTATACCTCCAGCCCAAGGCTTCTTTAGAGACGTTAGGCATAATTCCATTATCTCACCTCAAAATTTGTAATAATTTCCTAATCTAATGTATTCAAATGGCGTTTACATTTTCTTGTTTAATTTTTTTTTTTTACTATTTGTTCAAAACAAGATGGAAATAAAGTTCATACGTAGCAATTGGAGGATGATTCAAGTCTGTTTTCTTTAAAATTTTTAATTGAAGGATAGTATACACAAAAAAAGTGAATACAAATCTAAGTGTACGGCTTGATGGTCTCCCCAATCTCTTATACACACACACACACATACACACACACACACACATTTTAGTTGTAGGTGAACACAATACCTTTATTTAATTTTACATGGTGCTGAGGATTGTACCCAATGCCTCACATGTGCTAGGTGAGCGCTTTACCACTGAGCCACAATCGCAGCCCTCCCCAATCTTTTTTAATATACAGATTGGACTTTCTCCTCATTTATTCTTTAGAATTTATTGAAGAAGGGGGCTGGGGTTGTGGCTCAGTGGTAAAGCACTTGGCCTCGCATGTGTGACACACTGGGTTTAATTCTCAGCAACACATACAGATAAAAAGAATAAAATAAAGGTCCATCAACAACTGAAAAAGAAATTTAAAAAAATAATTTATTGATGATGGATGTCTGCTTTGAATTCCCAAGGTCTCCATTTATTGGATTTGCAATAGTTTGGATCTCGAATGTCCCCCCTCCCTCCAAGGGTTCATGGGCTAAAGGCCTGGTCACCAAATTCTGGCAATACAGAAGGTGGCAGAACCTTTAAGAGGTGGCACCTAGTGGAAGGAAGTCAGGTGACTGGGACTGTGCCTTTGGAGGGTATATAGGGACCCTAACCCTTTCTTCTCTTTTTTGCTTCCTGGTCACTTTGAGATGAGCAACTTTGCTCCACCACATGCTCCAGTCGATTGTAATATTCTGCCTTGTTGCAGTCCCCAAAATAACAGAGCCAACTGACCACGGACTGAATCCTCTGATACCCTGAACCAAAATAAACTTTTTTCTTAAGTTGATTTTCTCAGCTATTTTGTTACAGTGACAGCTAACTAATAGGATCATTTCTCATGGTGTCATTTAGCATGTTTTTCTGTTCTCTAGTTCTTATAAATTGATTATTACATCTAGAGGTTCAGCAGACCATGTTGGCATTTTGGTAAGATTGTTTCAATAGATGCTGCTGGGTACTATAACCAGGAGACTCATTGTACCTGAGCAGTCTTTTTCAGCAATGTTTTTCTTTCTTTTTCTTTTTCTGCTTTTGCAGTGCTGGGATCTACACCAGGGCCTCACCACATGCCAGGCAAGCACTCTGTCACTGAACTACATCGCTAGTGAGCTGCTTCTTTCAAAGCATCTTTTGATCGTTGGATGTCATTTCTACACACAATCAAAATCCATTCAGAATGAATCTAGCAAGTAACGTGGGTGATCGAACAGAAAAATGATGGTATGAGCTGAAAAATAAGGTTGATCACGTAATGACTGATTTACTTGTGTAGCTGGTAAACAGGCCCTGACGGAAATTCCAAAACTGTTCCGAGCAAAGGCAGCCTCAAATGCAGCCACCCAGGTGACTAATGTGATCGGAACAACAGTGACATTGATGGAGAAATTGTCTGGTGCTTATAAAGCCACTTTTCTATGTGGGTGGACGTTCCAGGCATCCCTTTGTAGTCATTAGCTCCTTTTAAGGACCCCTGCTTATCTCAGTGTGTTGCGCTTCAGTTTTGGAACCTGAGCTGGGGCGGCTGTGCTCTTGCTGCCACGCGAGACCTACCTAGCAGCCCACTGAGGACGCTCGTCGCCTGTCTTAGCTCCAGCCCACGGCCTGCCACTAGAGTCGTATGCTGCTCCTGGGTTCCACCCAACCCCTCCCCGGGCCTGGTGTTGGCCTCTTGTCCATTACCCGCCAGAATGTGGTCGGGGCACTGTCGGGTGCCTCCTGCTCTGGCCAGTCAACAAAAAATGAGGAAGGCCAGGAGGAGCGCCGGAGGCAGGCGCCAGCCCGGGGAGCAGCAATGCGGGAGGCCCGGCCTATTCTCACGGTTCACAGACCGCCCGCCACAGCTCCGCGGAGCTCCCCGCGCCGCACGAAGACCCTCGGGCCCCACGCCACGCTGCCGGCTATAGGCGGAGCCCCGCCCCTCTCCCTGTCCCGCCCCGAGAAGCAAATTAGGCGGGGCCACAGGGCTTCTGGCGAGACCGCCGTGCGTCAGGACCGACGTCTTCCCGAGCTCCTCCCACGCTCGCAGGCCCTGAGCGTGCGCCTGCGCGGTTCGGGCCCGGCCCGGGTTGTCACCCCACCCCCTCCCTAGCAACCGCCGCCCGCCCCCGCCCCGCCCCCGCCCCGGCCGCGTCCGCGCACGCGCGCCGCTTTCGGCACCCGGCCCCGCCCTCGCCGTCGCCGTAACAACCGCTCGAGCCCTCGCCGCGCCCCTCGCAGCTCCCGCCCAGCCCCCTCCCCGGAACCGGCGGTCGAGCGGCAGCCGCCGGGCAGTGGAACTGCGACGGCACCGCGGAGCCGCCGGCATGAGCTCCTCCCGCAGCCCCGCGCCCCGGGTTCGGCCTTTCTGACAAGAGGTAGGTGCGCGTCCCCGCGGCGGGCTCCGAGCGCGCCCCCGGGCGGCCCCGGGACGCTCCGGCCGCCTCCCGCCCGCCCGCTCCGAGCCCGCGCCGGAGCGCAGCCCGGCCCCCTCCCCGAGCCCGTCCTGCGGGAGCCGAGCTGCGGCCGCGCTCCTGCCGGCCCCGGAGTCCGCGGCGCTGGCCCGGCCCGGCCCGGCCACGCCGATTGTCATGCAATAGAGGCAGCCGGGTCCCGGACCCCGCGCCGCGCATCCGAGCTGGCGCCCGGCGGGTTCAGGGAAGCGGCGAGTTGACGGGTCCTCGGCTGGAGTCACTCCGACAGGCCGGGTCCCAGCGGACGGGCCGACGGTTTCCTCAGCGAGCACCACCGTGTCTTGCATCCTCTCCCTCCCCCGACCTCCCCCGGCAGTCGTCCTCCTCTGTCTGGGAGATACCGTAAAATTAATTTTCCCAATTAAAAATTTAAAAGCTTATTAGAGCCCCACCGTGCACTGGCACTGTACGGTTTGCAAAGTGAATAGAACGTGGTCCCAGCGCCCGGGACGCGTCAGCTCCAGGATCCAGATGAACGCAGACTCGGAGTCGAGTTTGGAGAACTCAGAGTTTGGCTCCGGTTTGGCTCTGGTTATCATGATTTTAGAGCTGTGAGTGTTTCAAGATCATCTTTCCCAAACCTGGTTTTATAGAGATGGAATTAAGGGAGGGCAAATGGCTTGCTGGAGGTCACCCAGAATTATTCCCTCGCAGTTTTCCGACTGTCAGATGGCTTGTTTTCCAGCATAACCTGCTCCTCTGAGAGATATGCCAAATAAACATACCAGAGGAAGTTCCAGGCCTGTTTAAAGTAATGTAAACATGGTAGAAATGCGGTAATATAGAGAGCAGTTTTCTGAAATAAAATCCTCATAATGTCTTTTTTTACAGCTAGACTTTGGGATCCTTGAGGCTATTCAGCTATGCACTTTTGAATATCCTCTCACCATATTCAACATAACATTCTTAATGATTATCCTCAGCAGGACAGGTAGGCTTATTTGATTTATTTTTTCCTCCTCACTTTTCTCTTCCCACTTTTAGTTAGGTGAGTAGAGTCCCAGGTGTGTTTTCAGAAACCTCCAGTGAGGCTGGCACCAGAATGATTTTGTGCTGGAGGGGGGTTCCTTGGTGTGTGGGTGAAGCTTGAGCAGGGCTCGAAGCCTCAGAGCCATCACAGCTCTTCCAGGCTGGAGTGTTCAGGGAGCCTCTAGAACCGCAGTGCTCAGCCTCCCTGTCGCTTGAAGACTGATCTCTGAAATTGTAGTATACACAGAAGACAGGACATGATGAAAGTGCTGTTTGGGAACCAGCATTTTGAGGGGTACTCCATGATTTGAGATACATAATATTTTTCCCCTGCTTTTTTGTGTTTTCCCCAGAGTTGAGTAAGACGTTAACCATTTTTAAAAAAAGTTTTCCTAGTTATACATGGACACATTATTTTTATTTTGCTTATTTGGTTTTACATGGTGCTGAAGATCGAACCCAGTGCCTCACATGTGCAAGGCAAGCGCTCTGCCACTGAGCCCCAGCCCGATGATGACCATTTTTATTTGGCTTTCAGTTGAAGTTGTTCAAAAGAAAATAATTGGACTAATTGAATCCTAGCATTTTCTTCCTAGGAAGGACTAGATCATGGAACCCAGGGCAGGGCCCAGCTACACAGATGAGGGCAGTGGAGGCCTCCACCCTCAGACCAGTGTGGTTCCCTTGTTCCCTTGGGCGTACTTTGCCTTTTTTATTGTCTCACTACCTCCCCTGCCATTGTGTATTTCAGTATTTTTCGATTTATGTGTGCATAGAAGTATGACTTATTGTGGTCCCTTTTTAGCCTTAGAATGTGGGATGATGTGTTGATGCAGACTTATTTTTTCTGTATAGTGGTGGTTTATCACATATGGGTATGTTTTGCAGGTGTGAGAGGATTGCTATTGTACTACAATCATGGTGCAAAAATACCAGTCACCAGTGAGGGTGTATAAACACCCCTTTGAATTAATTATGGCTGTAAGTACTGTACATTTCCATTTACTCTTTGGCTTCTTATTTTTTAAGTCTTAGAATCTGATGCTCTGTAAAACTTAACGTGCATTGTTTGTCCCCATCGCTTCACTTAGTCTGTTTACATGCTCATGAACTGTATTGTGTGTAAGATGTTTTTAAAACATAAGCCTCTGAAATTCTGCATATTTGTTTTATAAAAACACCCCTCAGGATCATGTGTGAATTCGCGTTAATTCCCCCTTTAAAAATGCAGAAGTGGGATTCTGACTAAACACTTCCTATGAATTTTGTTCTGTTTTTCCTTTTTGGTTAAAGTAGCAGAGGGACGTGGCGTGTGGGTTCTTACCTGTGGGAGCGAGCTCTGGTTGTGGGTGACTGCAGGTAGTCTCCGAGGAGCACTGGAAGGGGGCCTGCCTCAGCTCTCTGCTGCCTGGGCTTCCCACCTGACAGCAAATCTGTGAGTCAGATTCCACAAATGAGATAACTGAAGTCTCATTTTCTTGTTGTTATTTGCCTGAAAATTTGGCTAAAAATAAACATTTGATTGGACAGAAAAACTGTTCCAGGTACTTTTAGGTTATGTGTAGTAATGCTCCTTGCCTTCTCTTTTGTGTTATTATAAGGGTATGATATACCTTCAGGAACACGTGATAGCTCCAGGAAAAGGCTGTCACTGTCACGCACATGCATCCCTAAGGAAGTGTCACACTGAACACACCAGGGTTCTGAAACCAGGGTCAGTGAGCCAAGTTGCACTTGGCTCCTTTGGGTCCCCCCCACCTTCTCAAAGTGCTCCAGTACCCTGACTTCTAACACTGAAGGTGACTGGGCTGGGGATTTGCTCCAGTGACACGGCTCCTGCCTGTTATTCGCAAGGTCCTGAGTTCTATTGCCAGTTAGTACCCCCACCCTCAAAGTAGAAAGAAAAGTTCCAGTCTAAGGGATTAAGGGGAAGTTTTGTGGGTGTTTTATTGAGGCATAACTTACATATAGCAGATGGCTACATGTTAGCCACATAGTTTGATCAGTTTTTTTTTTTTTTTAATTTTTTTGGGTTGTAGATGGACACAATACCTTGATTTTGTTTATTTATTTTTATGTGGTGCTGAGGATCAAACCTGGTGCCTCACACATGCTAGGCAAGGCTCTGCCACTGAGCTACAACCGAGCCCCAGTTTGCTCGGTTTTTTTTTTTAGATTGAAAGCATGCCTTTATTTTATTTGTTTTTTTTTTTATGTGGTGCTGAGAATCAAATCCAGTGCCTCACACATGCTAGGCAAATGCTCTGCCACTGGGCTACAGCCTCCGTCCTGGTCAGTTTTAAGATGGGCTGGGGATATAGCTCAGTTGGTAGGGTGCTTGCCTCGCAGGCACAAGGCCCTGGGTTCAATCCCCCGCACCACCACAAAAAAGAAAAAAAGGAAGAAGAAGAGTCACCCCCACCTCTGTCAAGACAGAGTATTTGCATCTGCTACCCCAACAAGTTCCTTGTGCTCCCTCTGTCAGGTGTGAGACTTCTGTGTGTATGGCTGTTTCTGAAAAACACTTCTTTCTGTATTTCCCTTAAATATGTCTGAGTGGCGCTGCCTAGTATCTGATGAATGACAGGACGTGTCTGAGAGGCTTTGCTGTCCGTCTGCGTCTCTCTTGCTGGTTTGGCTTTGGCTGTGTGGAGCAGAGGCCGCTCCAGCCAGCCTGAAAGGGAGTTTTTCTGTTAGCAGCCACACTTGTGGGCTGTAGGAATCTCACAGACATTGAGGGTTTCCAGCTGGGACAGGCTGGAGCCTGGTGGTGGAGGGGGCTCTTGGCAGCTCTAGGGCCTAGGAGCAGTTGTCCCTGGAACTTCACCCCATGGGACCCCACCTTGCTCTATCTGCCAGAACTTTTTTGTCTCCCCACCAACTGGCTTCTTGCTCACTCTTTGCCCTTCCCTGTGGCTTCAGCTCAAGTGCTTTTCCAGTTGGCCAAAACCCTCTGGCTCCAGTTCCACTTTGTGGCATTTCTTGTTGTGTTCTTTTAGTTTCTAAGTGACCAGTTCTTGTCACATTTCCTAGTTCACGTTTTTGAAAGAAACTTGATCTGGTCCACTTCTCCCCCGACCTGAACTACAAGCGGTTGGCCAGCTCGCCTAGTGTCAGCCTTGGGTGGGATGCCTGACCCTGGCCAGTTCCTGAGCTGGTGGGGTGGGGGGAGGAGGTGTGGGGATAGTAGGGACCGAAAGGCCATGAGGAATGAAGCCGCATGTCTGCCCCACAAGGGAGGGGCTGTGGACAGGGCGTGTTGTTTTTTGGAGCCCCAAGTGTGATTTAAAAAGCGGTCTGCTGATCTCTTCTCCAAACACTAGATTTAATAAAGAGGCATTTTGTCTAATTTTCAAACTTACTTATTTCCCTTACTTTACTATTTTCAAAATTGAGAAGTTTGCTTTGCAAATTTCATGCATGAATTTACAGAAGAATTCAAAAATCAAATTTAAATTTCTTAAAAATTAAGCCTTTGTAAATTGCTTTTGTTTTGAGTCGTTGTTAATTTCCTTTTGAGTTGTTAAAAAATATATATTGCTTTTCTCCTTCCTAAACCAGGATATTCGTTAAGTCATTAGGATTTTTGGTGCACTTGCCCCTTTTCTGACTGTAGTTGTGTGGCTTAACATCCTCAGTATTCACTCATTTCGCTTTTTTTTCTCATTGAGGAAAAACAACTGTGATAAGAGGAAGCATTTGGGGTGAGGAAGAAGGGCTGCAGTCAAGGCAGGGACAGCACTGTAGCTCTCAGTGAAATATTTGTGAGAATCTCAAAAAGACCGTGCTTCAAAAATCACAGTGCACAGCAGAGTCCAAGGAGTGACAAGTGGGGTGGCATTCAGCAATAGGTGATTTTATTAGGGGTCCTAATTTATATGTGTCCCCATGGAGAGAAGGATTGGGAGAAAACAAACTTGCCCAACTTGAGCATGCGTTGGTTTGCTTTAACCAAGAGTTGAATTGTAGCTTAGGATTCATTGATAGAAAATGGTTCAGGTGGAAAGTTCCTATTGCAGATAGGTAACCAGCGGGGCCAGACATGTCCTTTGCATTTCAGTCAATTTAATGAAGACTTATCATTGTTTTGGGGTCAGCAGCATTGAAAAAATCACATTAATGGTCTCATTAACTTTTTTTTTTTGCAATGCTGGGGATTGAACCTTGCATGGGCCACGCCAGCACTGTACCACTGAGCCATGTCTGTTCCCAGCCCTCCCTTAACACATTGGAATTAAAGTGTGGTGAGGAGGAGGTTCCTAGTAGGCATTTGCAGCACTTTGAAGTACTTTGTTAGATGTTAGCCCAGAAATGGACACTGGAGCCGAGATAGTGCTGCCCCTCCAGCTCTGGGGGAGGAATCCGAGATGCCACAGTGCAACCTGCAGTCAGTGGCAGAGATCTGATTCTTGAGTTTAGTGTTCTTTTTATCACACTGTGCTTTTCCCTGCCCCCCAGTAATGTGTATCTGGAAACATCTTATGAAAGGTCTTGTCCATGAAGATGGCCTCAAATCTAGTGTCACCCAAACACATTTCCCAGGGCTACTCTTCTGGCACGGGGGAGGAGAAATGATCCGTGCAGATGCCCCAGCTGAGTGTGCCTGCAAGGATGTGGGGTCTCCCTTGGCACAGGATATGCCCCACAGATAGGAGCTTGGAAGGGGAAGCAGCAGGCTGAGGTGCTTGGGTTGGAGGTTTCCTGTGAACTGCCTAATGAGGCCTTTTCAAGTGCAGCCCCTCCCCAGGCTAGGGCCCCCTGGCTGACAAGTGGGAGGAGAGCAGGCCTGAGGGGCCACATTGGGTGGATCTGTTTTCCACACAGGGAGGGGCTCCATGACGAAAGGGGCTCCGCTAGCTCCTGTGTGTCTAGGCACTCTTCTCCGCTGTCCCTGCCTTTCTGGGCCTTCCCTGTTGCCCAGGCAGCCTCGCCCCTCCCCTTCTCTCTCCCTCCCCATCTCAGTTCCCTCTTTTTTGGCAGTGCTGCTTTTCTCCCCAAACCCTTTTCTCCTCAGTGTACCCTCACAGGCACACTGTGTTAGTTGTGCCTTCAGGTCACACGGGTCTCTGTCCCTTTCTCTCCCAGCCACCAGCCTGCCTTCTAGTGGTCTGGGAGGGGTGAACAGACATGACTTGCTGGTTTTCCTCCTCCCATCTTTTAGCCCTTCGAGTCATCCTGTGTTCTCTTCCTCACACCTCCTGTTCTGTCAGTCCTCTACTGCAGGATCCCGCTGCCTGTCCCCTGCTTCAGAACCCCGTGGCTCTGTCTTTAAGGCTCTTTCTGCCTGTGTCCAGCCCTTCCTGTTTTGCCTATTTCACAAATTGTGCACACTTCCCAATTTGAACTTTTATTTTATTTTATTTGTTTATTTATTTTGGTCCTGGGGATCTAACTTGCATACAAGGCAAGCTCTCTACCAATGGAGCCCCAGCCCTAACTTACATTCTTTAATGTTCTGGTCTGCTTGAGAGCAGTATCCTTCCTGCCCCTGCCCTGCCCCTTTTCTTTGGCTCAGATGTTTGCCTTTCTCATCTTGTCTTGCCTCTCCCCTGATGCCTCTCCAGGCCTGCCTCCTGTCTCTCCTCCCTCTCTTACATCTCCTCCCCTTTCCCCTTTTCTCCCACCTTCCCCTTTGCTGGGGATGGAACCCAGGGCCTCCTAGTGCTGAGCAAGCCCTCTACCACTGGGCTCCACCCCCAGCCCTGCTCCGTTGCCATATTACTTACTGTATTTGCTGTTCTTCTCAAAGGTCCTGAGCGTCACACTTCAGCTATTTTGCACGTTCCTCCAGGGCACTAGCTTTTTGTTGTCTCCCAGTGTTAAGTGGTCAAGTGCGTAGATATACTGATGTGTGTGGTCAGGGGGTTTCTCTTTGTTCATGTGAACTTTGAATGTGAGGACTTTTTAAAAGTGGCCTTGGTGGAAACAGATCTAAAATGTAACTCCAACGGAGCCTCGTTAGCGCAGTAGGTAGCGCGTCA